ATCAGGCAGCGGCGGCGTAAACCCCGCTGTTTCGGGAGGGCCGGTGCTGGCGGCGGCCTCAACAGCTGTCGGGCACCCATCCCGGCGCTCCTGACCTCGGCTCACCGGCGCTGAAGGCGGTCTCAGCAGCTGTCGGGCACACATCCCGGCGCTCCCGACCTCGGCTCACCGGCGCTGAAGGCGGTCTCAGCAGCTGTCGGGCACATCCCGGCGCTCCCGACCTCGGCTCACCGGCGCTGAAGGCGGTCTCAGCAGCTGTCGGGCACCATCCCGGCGCTCCCTACCTCGGCTCACCAGCGCTGAAGGCGGTCTCAGCAGCTGTCGGGCACACATCCCGGCGCTCCCGACCTCGGCTCACCGGCGCTGAAGGCGGTCTCAGCAGCTGTCGGGCACCCATCCCGGCGCTCCTGACCTCGGCTCACCGGCGCTGACGGCGGCCTCAGCAGCTGTCGGGCACCCATCCCGGCGCTCCTGACCTCGGCTCACCGGCGCTGACGGCGGCCTCAGCAGCTGTCGGGCACCCATCCCGGCGCTCCTGACCTCGGCTCACCGGTGCTGTCCGGGGACCTCCGAGCGGGGGGCGCGGCTCGACCCGCGGCCGCGCGCTCCACCGCCCGGCCGCCTGGCCGCCCCTCTCCTTTGTCCGGAAAATCAATGACGCCGTCTCGGGGCCGGTCCGGGTCGCGGGCCGGCCGCCGCCACCGCCCCTGCATGACATCAGCGCCATGCATACGGGATGGCGGCGGCGGAGGTCCGCCTGCCCGCCCGCCCGCCCGCCGGCCCGCCCGCTGACCGGTCGTCCGACTCTGTACCGGCCCGCCCGCTGACCCGGAGAGGCTCAGCACGGCCGGCGGCGGGAGGGCCTGTGGGCTGCTGAGCGTGTGTCTGGGGAGGAGGGCGGGCGGCGGACGACGAGTGCCAGGGGATGAGGACCCCGGCGGACGGTTGCCCTAGTGGGGCTTGGATCTGGTCAGCTGTTCCTTCTACGTCGAGCGCGAGTCTGCTGCGGTATTAGCTGGGCTGGTGATCTGCTGTGGTCAGGGCTGGGCTGGTGACCTGTAGTCGCAGCTGGGCTGGTGATGTGGTGTGGTCGCGGCTGGGCTGGTGACCTGCTGAGATGCAAACGTGGTTACGAGAGTTCCCGCAAATTCATAGCGGCGGCAACGTGTTCGCTGGAGAGGTGCTTATTTGTGTTCAAAAAGCATATTTATTTGTGGTTAATGAACTGATAATTCAAGCTGTTTAATCTTTCCGTGTTGTTTTCTGCTTCTGTGTTATGTGGTCTATATGTTCACATCGCATGGAAGTAAAACACCCGTGTGGCCCTTGAGTTCATGTGCCTGCAATCACACCGATAATTTGTTCCTGCACGATGGGGTATTTCGACCACAAAGTAACAGATTTCTCACCGGGGGAGAATTCCCAGCCACAGCCCAGCGTCGTGGCCGCGCGTGACTCGTGGCACGCGGCTCACGCTCCCCCCCCCCCCCCTCTGTTGCAGTCCGTTGCCCACGCCAAGAAGAAGATCGTCCACTACACCACCATGGACAACAAGAAGCGGGCCAACGCCGCCTTCCTGATCTCGGCGTACGCGGTGAGTGCGCCTGTCGGCCGGGGATGGTCTGGAGTCACGCTCGAGCCGGGCGGCGGCGGCGCGGCCGAACGCGGAGACCCGCCGGGCGCTCGCCGGGCTACGGCTGCCGGATGTGCTCGTGGTGCAGGGCAGGGTGTGCAGATCTGGAGAGGCGTTAAGCGGGTGGGAGATATAGTGAGGTGGAATGCTCGCTATCTTATTTGAAGACGATCGCCAGATTTGTTTGCTGAGATGTCACATTTTCCGACGTTTGCACGGCCCGGCTGTGCGGCCTTCAACCCGGCGCCCTCTGCGTTGCTGCGCCGCTGCAAAGTCCGGCAATTGCTGCCGACTGCGGTGGGCGGTCGGTAGGGAGGAGTGGGTGCAAGTGTCCGCATTGCAACCGCCGAGAGACGGGACCGGGCGCTGAGGAATTTGCATGGGACGGCGGCACGCTGCTGTCAGCGGTGCGCCCCGTTCCCTCACCCACACACGCCAACGCCGTCTCCGGTCCCGTTCAGTCGACAGGGGCCTCGCGTGGCACCAGGGCTGCATCGCGGCCGTGCGCCCGGAGTCTCCAGTCGCGCCCTACGGGGAGCGCAGCTCGGCGCTCTGTCCCGCCTCGTCACCCGTCCCCCGCGCGACGCTGATGCAGGGGCTGGTCGGGGCGCCGCGCGGGCTCCGCCGGGCGTCCGCGGCCTGGGCGTCCCGGTTGGCGGCGTGGCGGCTTCTCTCCTGGGAGCGGGCCGCGAGCGGCTGGGGTCCGGGTCGGGTCCGGGTCAGCAGCCGCCCGGGGCGGTCGTGCGGTGCTCTCTGACCTCGCGCCGCCCGACCCCCGCCGCGCCGATGACTCACGGCGAGGGTGAGGGCTGTTGAAGCCCGACAACAACGCTGCCGCCAAGGTCAAGGCCATGGGTGTTGATCGGTGGGTAAAGCATGCGGGGGCCCGCTGGTTCGTTTACTTGTGCGGCGCTGGTAGCGACCGGGCCGTCAGTGGACCTCGAAGTAGTGGAGACGGACACTTAATCAAACGCCTGATGTTTGCCACAGGCTGCGGTAGCGATGCGGGGTGTCATGACAGATGGCGGGCTGGGACATATTAAGCTGGAAGTTATTTGTTAACTGTGGTTTTGGGGTAGCTGATGCTCTCCCGTCTTGTGCATGTGCATTGTGCGTAACGCCAGACCTTCGACGTAGTTAGGTCTCGCAACCACCCGCAGAAAATCCACTCAAGCTCTTGTGACGAGTCTCGAGATCAAACGTATTCCACGTTACTAACGAACCCTCATCTATCAATTTGTGTTAAGCGAAACTGCAAAGCTGAAATCTCATTTTTAAATTCCCGCGACGGTTTTTCAGATTGAAACTCCAGTTCCACCGTTGAGTGTTTTGCGATAACACGATACAAGGCTGATGCATCTCACATTAGTGTTGAAGTCTACGGCTGGCCTCCGTGTCAGGGGCTGTCATCTCCCCACTCGACGGGCGTGTATCCTGGCCGGTGTTTCCCTTGGCGGCGATTGATTCCGCGAGAAAACTGTTTAGAGTCGTCGACGATCGACCGCCGTCCGCCGCCAGTACTTAGCCGGGCAGGCTGGCGCACCTGCCCGCATTCATCACGGCCGACCCGCCGCCCGCTGACCGCCGGCCGCCGCCAGCAGCCGCCGCCTCCTCCAGCTGGCGTGGGTGGTGGCCGGGCGGCGCGCTCCACCCGCTCCCTTGCTCCGTCGCCGGCCAGAGAGGCCGCTCCGACCGCGCCCGGAAGCAGCTCGTTGCGGCGTGCTGGCGGCGCGCCGGTCGGCCACTGTTGCTGACGGCAACACGCCGACGAGCCGTGCCCGGTTGTCGAACACGGCCCGCGGCGCGCCGGGCTCGTGCCGGGCCCGTGTCGTGGCCGCCGGCGCCACACGACTGCCGGCGCCCGCGAGGGCAGGGCGTGCTGACCGCGCCGGACGCGGCTGTACGCGAACACGCGCGCAGAACACCCTGGCGCTCAGTGCGCGATCGCGGTGCGTTAGCAGGCTTCTTCGGTTGTTATTTTACGCTCGGTTCTGCGCCGTTGCCCGTGTCGGCGCTGCTGTGGACGCCGCCGTTCTGCGCACAGACCAGCTGGTCGCGGCGGGCTGCGGGGTTTGCGGGGTCTGCAGACAGACCAGCCGGCCGCGGTGGACTGCTGGGTCTGCGGGGTCTGCGGAGTCCGCGGACAGACCAGGCCGTCCGCGGCGGGCTGCCGGGTCTCGCTGCTTCCTGGTGCGGCTGCCGCTGACGCCAGTGCGGCGCCGCTTGACCGCGATTGACCGGCGTGCGCGCCGTTAGTCCCGCCGGTCGGTGGGTGTCGCCGCCGCCGCCGACCCGTGTGCCGGCCGGTTTCGCGTCCGGGGAGGCGGGACCGATCGGGACCCGCCCGACGGTGGGCGGACGCTGCGCGAGATAACCGCTGTCGCCCGCCCGCGCTGAGGCGGTGGCGTAGGCGCCGACACGCTCCACCGGCGCCGCTGGAGGAGCGGGCGCAGTGGGACTCAGTGAGACAGGTGATTTCTAGACGCGAATGTGCTGTGTAGGAAAATACATTGGTGTTTGTCGTCCCGAAGATGAATTGCTTGATTTGGTTTACGGGAGCTTGGACTGCAGCGGTCATTCGAATTGCACACGGCGTGCAGGGTTTTACATAGGAAATTGGCATCATACAAAAAGGCAAATGCATGGATGCGACGGAGCGCGACCAGTTTTGAGAAGTTCTCGAAGCCTGTACCGGAATGATGCAGTTTGAAATGTCAATAGGTTGCTGCGCTGCCGTGTGGATTGTCAGTTCCCCGTACCGAGCAGCCGAGGTAGGTTGCGGGGTGTAGCAGCTTTGGTGGCTCGTGCCACGTAATATCCGACACATTTCTTGAAACCACATCGGCGTGGATCAGGCGGAGCCGTGGTCAGGGGCTCCGCATCGGCCGAAGGTGATGGCGGAAGGGTGGGGACATCAAGGTTTAAGGTGTTTTGTGCCATAGAGCGCGCGATGATAAGTGTGGTGGTGGGTTCAGAACACTCGTTTCGTGCTTTCCCCCTCCCGTACTCTCTCGTGTCGGTGATCATAATAACACTTTGCTTAGGAGTGTAACGAATCGCTTTAGAACGCTTACATTCGTTGATTCTCTGCATTTTGCGCGGCATTTTGAAATTACTGCTGCGCAGCGTTTTGGGATTTTGAGACTTGCGCTGATTCGCAGCGTGATTGTACATCATATGTATAATGTACTTGTATAATGTACTCAACCGTTGATAACTAATGAACTACATTCTCAAAAATGCTGATGGAACAGTGAGACCGATTTGCCTCCTGCCGTTCTACAAATGGGATACGTACCTTCCTCGCGTTCTTTTCGACATGTCACACAGCACGGTGTTTTGGCTTGGAGCTGAACGTGGCGCTGGGCGGAAATGAATGCGAAGTCATGTGCCGGGCTGGACCCCAGGGTCATTTGTCGACGTAGCTCTCGGTTGGGGTTCGATCCAATTCTGCTCACGGTGTGTTTCCAATTTAAACGTTACTTCCCGAGTGGGGTCATTAGGCTGTGGGGAGCCTGAGCTATTTCGGCCTGCCCTTAATGAACAGTTATATAATGTATGAGTGCTTGATTGTGTGGAACGTTTTTGTTTTACCATGTTGTCGACGTTGCCGGAGTAAATCGTGCCTATACCAGGCCAACTCAATCTAAATAGAAAAAGCGTGCGATTACGAAAATCGCCAAAAACCGTGCGTAGAACGCGCGCCGATAATTCGTCATACAGCACAGCACTCGGCATGGCTGGTGTAACACAGGCGACAGGCGTGGTGTGTCGCCACAACCTGCCGGCTGTGCTGGGGAAGCCCCGCCACCGGACAGGTCCCAGCAGCGACCCCGCTCCGTCGGGAGCGCGCTGTGGCGGCGGGGGAGGCCGGTCGCGGCATGGGACGGGTGCCGCCTCCGTGAGCGTCTCCGTGACCCGCCGCGGTCGGGCGGGCGGGCCGGCGCTCGGCGTCAGCCCGCGGCCGCGTCGGCCCTACGCAGCGGCGGCCGTGGCGTGCGCGCAGATTATTCGGGCGGCCGCGGCGCGCGGCGACCCCCGCCGGCCCGCTGTCTTGAGCCGCCGCCGCCGCGCGCGCCATTTACATAAAGCCATGAATAGCGTCCGGGTCAAGCCGGCGGCGTGCGGCCGCCCTGCCGGCCAAATCGCCGATCGGGGCCGCTGTTTGGACGGGGTTATTTCGGGGCCGGCGGCTGCCCTCGGGCTGGATCGCGGCGTGGGTGCGGCCGCGCCGCCCGCATGTTGCACTGTCGCGTCCCGAGCGAGGCGGGCTTCGAGCAGGTGTGGTGATGGATGTGGCGTGAGGTTACCGAGCTCACCGGAAATGAACTTTCGACCTTGAGGTGTCGAATTGGTGACGAAGAGCTGTCGACCGAAGTGATGGTGGTTTGAGGCGTGGCTTAATTGCATTTCGTAGGTCGCGCCGCATAGTTATCTTTCGGCTCAAATCGCATTTGCGCAGCGTTGCTTATAGTAGACAAACTGTAGAGTGGAAGATCCATAGGTGCATAGCTCAGGCAATGCGCTAGCTTGCGGACAGGTCTTGAGGTGTAGCAGACAGGCTCGTAAGTGTGCGTGCTGGACGACACAAGGGCACCCCCAGCTTGGGAAACCCGCGTGACTGGCGCGGGCTCTTACGCACTGCCCGACCTTCGTGCACTTGGAACCCTCGGCGACAGTGTAATAAGAATAAATTGTATTCAGATGTATTTTAAAATTTGTTATTACGCCATGGCCAAGCGGTGTGGCATGCCGTGTCGTCTATCTGGCACGTCCTGCTGCCTTGAGGGGCGAGGCACCTGATGGAGCACCTCCCACAGCCGAGCCGCAGCGGCCCGTGTATATTTAGGCGCACGAACGCCCGGACGTGACAGTTTTAATTATCACCTGGCCAGTGAATCCAATTATACAAATGAGCTCGGCATTCGCGGCTGTTGGATGTCGTGTAATCGGCGCAGCCC